TATCAATCTCTGACGAATCAGAAAAATATGCTTGATAAGGCTTAGCCCTTCCTGTTGTTAATTTCATTATTTCAATTGCAAACAAATGGTGATAAGAGACTTCTATGTTTATTGACTTAACCTAGGTGTTCATTGTTGAGAACATCTAATGTCCTACGAAACTGTGACACGACTAATCCGATGCACTTCTGCGCTAACAATAGCTTTGTTGTGCGGAAATCACTTGCATGATATCGTCTAATGCTCCTGCTTGAGATATGTGGTAGGTATTTCCGCCTGGTTAGTCATTCTGTCGCACTTGAAGGTTAGATGGGAAAGTCAGACGACTCCGCATAGGATGTCTACGATAAAAACCATACTAGTAGACAAGCATGCTGAATATCTCCCACAGCTATCAGAAGGCAACCGATGGCTCGGCCATAGTCCTTCGACTAACCAAGCCTTTTAATTACTTGATTTGCACTAATTACTTCTAACTGTTACTCGGTGAAGGACAGCACATTGAATTATCCGTCGACAGAACGTCTCAAGTTATGTTTGTAGCAAATTCGTCTTCTAGGCAAATAAAATCGTGGATGCACTCACAAAGTAATGCTTGTCAACAAGGGGAAGAAACTTTGCAAATTTCTTCTACTTGATTTTTGATAAAGAAGTTTGCTTACTTTTGAATAATACTGAATGCATGTTATACAATCAGGCCGTATAGCGTCGGCACTGCATCGATGTTCCATTTAGCAGCAGTCCATTTGAGGCTGAGGAATGAAGACTAAGTTTCTGGAGTTCTCTTTCTTTCCAATTTCGAACTTATTTTGTCGTAATGACATGGAGCATTTGAAAGGTGTATGAGAATGAGAGTGAGAGTGAGAGTGAGAGTGAGAGAGAGAGAGAGAATTAAGGCTTCAGACGAACACTGGCCAGGTGAACTTGCATGTCGTTCCAAAAGTTTCACTGTAATTTTATCTTAGTCTTTTTCTATTAAAACCTATTAAATGACATCTTATAACACTATGAAGCAGTGCTTTTTATATAATGGGAAACAACAACACAATGGAAAACTACTCAAAAGCGGTCATCGTCGTTTGTGATGTATAATGGACGGATACTGCCATTCGCTTCACCGTAAGAAACCAGAAGCTTCTGTTACACATCCAGTTCTTTGATCAGAATCTATTGCGGTCTTATTTTGCTAGCGTTCTTAGCACTCGAGGCTCAACTAGTCAACTTTCCGATAAAATCGACGTGCAATCAAAATTCCATCGAGTTTTTTGCTGTGTCTAAACAAACAAAAACAGTATAACAATTTTTATGTGATTAAGCTGACATAAGGTTGGTAACCACCTCTAACGTTTCTGTGCCTTTGCTTTCCTCAAAGCCGTATTAAACCGTTTTTAAAGAAAACGACACATTCAATATTACCAGACGGAATAAATCATAGTTCTGTTTTATACAATACAGGATTCACTCAATAATAATGGCTGAATGGGGTCTAGAATTTCAGGTGAAGAGACCATGGATGCGCTTCCATCGCAGTCTTCGCAAACCGAACTCGTTCTCGGTTATCCATCTGACTCTCATTGTGCACACACCATTTACGCAATTCTTTCTATCCACATCAAAACCGCAGCAATCCGTCAATCTTAAGTCACACTCAATCACTTTTGTTCCCAAGTGATCATGAAAGAAAACTTCAGTAGCGTAAGGTCATCAACCAAACTAAGGCTGCTTGAAAATCGCTGATTCTCTGAGTTAAAGCGCATAGATAAAGAGTAAGAGAAGGAGGAAGAAGATAAAAGAGAGAAAGACAGAGAAGTAGATTTTATTATTAACCTGGTTACGGAAAGTGAAGACATGACAGATATTTTCAACAATGGATTTCAATGTGGGCATGCGTGCGTTCAGAATGAAGTCTTGCAAAGCTGATCCGAGAAGTCGTCTTGCACCCCTTTAGCACAACCCTTCACATTTCAAGCTATTTTTTAAGTATATATTAAGATGGAGGCCATCATGTACGAATAAAACAGATGACACCGGATTACATCTAATGATATGCAGAAACGAAAACATGCCGAAAATAACGGATTGGCTTGATTGGTTTTCAACGATCTCGAATCGATTAGATATTGGAAATTGGTAGAAATCGTTGTCAATTATCTAGAAGTGAAGTATACAAACCATATCATTGTAGAGGTGACTGAATGCATATGCTGCTTATACAATCACTTTTGGAGGCTTGCCGATACATAAAAGTCAATCAGTGTTCCCAGGGAAATTGATGAAAGCGAACATAAAGGCCTTTTTTCTGTTGAAACAATCACTGTTAGAAGGATATAATTTCACTTGAGAATTTAACCCATGCACGTCGTCTTAAAGTACGTAATGAATCACCTTGACATTTTAAGAATTTGTTTCTTATTCGCAATTTAGGGATTTAAAATTTGGGGGTTCGAAGATTCTTTTGAAATTCTGCCGTATGTCCTTCTATCAACACCGGGCTTGCTAATCCTTTTACGACCTTGAGCACTGAACTGGTTTGTAGGGTCCACAAACGGTTATCGCCAGTTCTAACGTTCAGTAACTCTAGGCTTTTCCACATTTGTATTGATGGCCGACCAGTGTGCTGTAGATAGAATTATAATATCTTTCCTATCCTTTCATCCCAGCACCATTACACAACTCTTATTCTGCATGGTTATCTATTGAACCTTGACCAGTTTCGGCTTGATGAATTCCACTGGTATCCCGATCCTGTTCTTTGTAAATGCTCCTGTGTAAACGGAATAGTGTGATAAAACATGAGAACCACGTAGATACGATTGATATACAAGAACAAAGCTATAATCTCGGAAAAGAAACAAGAACATCTAGAAAATGGATATTTTTTGTGCCATTTGCGATATCCAGATTTCAGCTTTCCTCCCCCAGCTTCCCGGTTTTTCTTAGGCATCCAAAATCACCACACTAAATGTAACATATGGGTGTGTGTGGTGCAGTGGTCAGAAGCGCCCTCCAACACGCACGTGGAATCGATCCGCGCACCGTTAGCCCACCAAGCCTTCCATTCCTCCGGGGTCGGCAAATTGGTACCAGACTTGTCTGGGAGGATAGCGGCACTGGTTCGATACATCGGTTGGCCACCACGAGTCATTGTAAATGCTAAATATGCATTTGATCACCTCCAAGCGATGCTTAATGAAGTCGAATGCATGGCGTATTCCTCAGGGATTGATCAACGGCGAGAGCTTTAAACTTTTTAAATGTAGCATAACAAAGTAGCTTTAAAAGGGCGAACTTCTGCAGACAGTGCCTGTAGAATGGTCAAACGGTGAGTGAGGAATTAAAAAACTCACAAAGAACAAGTTGAACTCTTCCACTGGAATAACTCCAGTATGAACATGATATGTTAGGTTGTAAGAAGACCTACTGATAGAAATATAAAAGAAGTGGTAAATGTGGTTATCTTCATTGTACCAATCAACAACGACAGCCATTGAAAGTTAACATTGTCGGCGGTTCGAATGTGGTTTAACGATGAGGAATGAACGGTAGTTACTATTCATACAAAACCATTTATAAATCTCTCAACATTTCCTCATCAAAAATAGAATATACTCGAGATACATAAGTCTCGAGAATGTAACTTGTGAAAGTAATAAAATAAAACAACAAAATGAAGAACTGAAAAAAATGGGCTCAATGGAAAAACTTGGGGGCTCTGGAGACGAACGAGGACATTACTTGTATGAGCTCAATTCACTTGAAAATCACTGGGATAACAGTCAGTGGAGGTGCTACGAGTAAGAATTGGATAAAATCCGATTACAAAATGTCGAAATAAAGCGAAAAGTAAAAGCATTTTTTCAATATAGGGATCTGCAGAAGCAACAGGAAAGTTCACTGGAAACGAAAAGAAAAGACGTCAGCTAGAATGGTAGATGTTGTAATAGTAATGTAAACACAGCCAATGTGTACAAAGTCAAAGAATTGCTAGCAGATCGTTGACCCCAAGGATAACCATTGTTAACGTCTTCGCATTTTGTTCCAGGTGGTGCCACTTTCAACGCTGGGAGCTTATTCATTCGGAGAGATTTATTGCACGAACTAATCCAGCATTCCAGAATTTCAACAATCTAAAGAAAGTCTACATAAGACGGTGAATGTCTTTCAGCAGTACTTTGAAGTTTGTGGTAGAGGAGCCTAGTGTTTATATACCGTATACTGCGGTTATATACGAGCTCAATAATGCTACCATACAAATGAGTAGTTTTAGAAATTTTAAAAATCAAAGCATTTTGACAAAGGATAAAAGTGTCCTGCAATACACATTTGGTCACCGGCACGACTTCAAGACTCAAACGAACCAAGCTCATCTTCCCTTCGAGGTTGAAAAACTGGAACCATGCTCGTTTGAGAAAAGAAAACATTGAATTGATGCGTCGATGGGTCCTTGTGTATATGAATGCACAAGCCGTGTCCATAATAATCCGCAGAGATGCAGGTGGAAGCCTAACACTTCTTTTCTCACGTGTTCGTTTTTAATTTGCCTGTAACGCGTTTGCGACGGCCCTCAATATTAATCGTATAAAACGCATCCCGTCCAACGTGATCCTTTTTTATGAGCCTTATATGATGCACAGGCGGGGTTGTGGCAGTGCTCGGAGGCGACCTGCAACACATAAGTGGAATCGATCCCAGCGCCCATGGTTCACCAAGCCTTTCATCTCTCCGGAGTTGGCAAATTGGTACTAAACCTATCTGAGAAGATAGTAACACTGGCTCGATACATCGGTAGGCCACCGTGGGTCATTGTAAATGCCAGATATGCATTCAATCATCTCCAAACGATGATTAATAAAATCGAATGCATGGCGCATTCCTCACGGAGTAACCCACGCCGAGAGCTTTTTAATATAAGTGTTTCCGACATATTCCATTTGGATTCTGCTTGCAAAAAAATAACGTATTACAATTTTTCCGATTATATAAATAATAATTTCTGCACTTCATAGGTGAGAAGCCATAATCTCACAAGTAAAGTCGTCAATACGGCTTTTTTTTTTTTGAAAGAAACACCAATAACACTTTGCCTGATATCTAGCGTTTTTGATTGTGTTCGGATCACAGCTGTTTGGTTTCCTTAGGTCGAGATGATGAGCACTGCCAGGAATTTCCACCACGTAGATACCATGATCGTTACGATTATCAGGTGATGAAGCTTTATAGCCGCCTCCTGACCATGGATCGAGAAGACCTTGACTGAAATTCAGAACATCACATCATTCTTTGTCAAACACGCAGCGAGAAACCATTGTAAAGATTTATTTACTCGGCGAACTACCTACCCATAATTACCTTCTGAGAAAAAAAAAACAGGCCAGCGAAAATAGGTCAACGTATCAGAACGGTAATCATCATCATGCCCTTCAAGCGATCGGAGCTCAATGAGCACAGTACAGAAACGACAAAAGCACTGCTGCTGATGTAACACAGCTTAGGCGACGTTGTTGTCTAAGAGTGGTAATTAATTTCCGATCGAAGTAGGTGAGTATTTATTGAGAATTTTACCTATTGAAAATTTACTGGTGATTTGCTTCAAATGTCTGGTACTCAAATGTGCTTTCTTCGAACGTCAAACGCTCAGTTATGGAGAACCAATATCCCTCGTTATTCAATTATTGATTTCCAAAAAAATCGATTAATGCCCAGGAGTCGTTCTTGATAACTTATCATTCTCTAGCAACAGTGTTTTTACAGCGGCTTTGTCATTCTTGTCTGTGATTTCTTGTTTCGTACAATGAAAGTGGTGATAGGAGACTTCGACATTATCTACTTTATCTAGGTGCTCTTTGCCAAGAACCTGAACTTCTCCAACTTCCTTTCGCTGATATCATGTAGGTACTGCCGACACGATATTGTCATCAGAGATATTTGATAACACACAATCACTGATCAGTTCAGCCTCGCCAGCGATTCCATAGGGTTTGACCATTGGATAGAAACATTTGCACGATAGCAACTCATATCAGTTATGCTAAGTATGCACTACAAGTATTCGAAGAGACGTAAAGCCGTGGAATGACTAAGGTGTTCAACCCAGATTCTAATCCTTAAGGATCATCGACCACCGATGAACACTAACAATTCTTCTGCGAGAGACGGTAGGATGAATCATTGCCTCGATTGAACGTCACATGCTATGGTTGCACTAGATTCGTTTCCTACCAGCCATCGAATTTGTGGACGTATTCCCAGAATAATGCCTCTCAACGAAGTCAAGACACTGTGAAGTTTTCTCCAGTTGCTGTTTTGATGAAGAAATTTACTCACGTTAGAATGATATTGGACGTATGTTGTACAGTCAAACCATAGAGTGTCGACACTGCATTGATGTTCCAATTAGCAGTGGTCCAGTTGAAGCTAAAGAATAAAGAAAAAACTTTTTAGGCTTTTCTTTCGTTTCTATTTTGGGTTTGCTTTACGCTAATGACATGGAGAATTTTAAATCAGATGTTTGAGAGAAGGAATGAGAGGGAGAGAAAAAAAGAGGGAGAAAGAGAGAAGGAGAAAAAATTGAGGCTTCCGATCTAGACTGGCCAGTGGCATATATGAGGATGTCATTCCAAAAGCCTTATCACAACTTTATCTTAGTCTTCTCCATCAGAAACCATGTCTCCTGACATGGACATGGAAACACGGATTAGGATCTCAACTTTATAAAGAGTAATGTGCACCGCGCACACAGCTATGGAACAATGTCTTTTGAAGCACAGCAGGAAACCACAAAATCAGCCTAACATCATACTCCAAACTTCGAAAGTTACCACATCGTCGATATTTATGAGAATACACATCGAAACTGAAACATAGATGAGCCGGTCATCTAGTAAGAAGAGCCGACGATAGACAAATAAAAAAAAGGCAGTGGAATGGACTCGAAATATCCGTGCAAGCGTGTTCTAAGACGAACAAATATACTAGTAGCTAAAATCCATCTATTGTATTCGCAACTTCAAAAGCCTTATGGATGACGGTATAAAACTCGTATACACCGCGATAGTCCAAGTAAACTACCACCATAGACGACAGTAATGAGCCAGGCAAAAAAAGCATAGAAGATTTGCTAACGCTTGCAATAACTGTGACGGGTGAACCAGGCATAACTAGGTACAGGAAGTAAATCAGAGTAGAAGAAAATCTTTTATAGAGAAAATAAAACGGTTCAATGATAGTTGCTGACTGGCGTTGAGATACGCTTGATCGAACGCATTCAGCCAATTATCAAACGAGGTAAGGATGTGAACAGCGGTATCATCGCTATTATCAGTGGCGCTCTCATCGCGATAAGCATTCAGTCATATCCTTCTCACACCCACATCGTAATAGATATCCGTCCGACTAATATTATACACGAATTATATAGTATACACGAAAAAATACCCTTTAAATTCTATCTGCTGCTATATGACACATGTCTGTCTTTCAACCACTCCTGCAGCCAAGCGGTCATCAAAGAGAGCTCAAGCACTGGACTGCCAACCAAACACTAGTTGCTTGAAAAACAGTCGATTCTGATTCAAGCTAATGATAAAGGAAGGAAGAAAGCAAGAGAGAGGAAGAGAGAAAAAGACAGCTAGTTGTCTCGTCCTGGTTACTGCACTCATCACGCTGAACATAAATGTTTCAATTTTATTTCGTTATATAGTCGTAATAAAAATCTACCAGCCTCTTGAATGTGGATTTGCACACTTTGGCAAGAAAACCTGTCCAATTCGATTTGCACTCATCCCAGAAGAAATCGTTCTTGCCCCCTTTAGAGCACATATCAATGACAATCTCGCTGCATTCCTAAATTGTTTGTGAAATTTTTCTGAGCACTCTGATTATCTTTATAGCAGAGAAGTTGCTTATGCTTCACATCACAGTTCGTTGGTAATTCTTTGCGTTAGTGATGGAAATGAATAGCCTTATCAGAGAACTAGGGCATACAAGAAGACAAAAAGTCGATACTCAAACTAAACTGATAATTTTCGAAAGCTTTCTTATAAACGAAGATGTGAGGGTTAAAGCCAGAAAGGCCAAATCGATTAAGTTTTTCAACATTGACCTCCGACCAGTTAAATATTTCACTGTCGCATATGACCACCAAAAGCGCAAATAAACAGACCAGGCAAGAAAGGCTTAGAACTATTGTAGTCACTAAGTAAACATATTGTTATAAAATTTCGCTAGATGATGTGACGCACCATGTTAGAATGTTACTGATTTTCATTCAGACTTATTTAGTGGTTACACAATACTTAGTAAAGGAATTCCATCGTAACTGAATACACCAAGGAATTACTTCATAACCGAACACTTGCAGGCTTGTCGAATATAGCAGATTATTATCAAAAAGTTTTACTTTTCATTTGGAACAGGATAACAGCTGAAGGTGGTTTCAATTATTATAAAGTAAATGAACATCTTTGCCCAATTATCTGTGGCGACGCATGGAATACAGTTGCTTACCTGCCACGGCCATGCAAGCCCCTCGCCTAACGATGCGGTAGCTATATCACCACAGACAGCAGGATCAATGCAATTATGCTGTAGTTTACCAGAGCTGTTGTAGTAGACATTGGCAGCTTTGTACATCATCGTCGCCAACTCCTTGTCTGAGAATTTCGTTCCCGTGGCGCTCATAAACGAGCAGGCAACCTAAGAGTTCACGTGGATTCTCCGTAACAGCTAGATGCAAAGTCTGTTCAAATAAACGTGAAGCACCACATTTTAGCTTGCGTAATATTTCTACGAGTTTGATCACCGCTTGGATAAAATCCATCGTATAGAACTACTTTCAGAATTGTCAGATCAAATTTAGGACGCTTTCGAGATTTCAATTCCTTAATTTTGCAACATGCTGTCCTTTGCACGAAGAAATGAGTTTTGTGCGAACGAGACAATGGTTCGGCTATTGTGTAGAACCTTGACACATAGGCAAATGAAATCGGTTAGGGAAAATCGTCGGCTAACGATGACCCCGTCGACGTCAATTGTGATTCTCTCTATCAGAAGGCTCCTACTGCGAAAGCCTAGAGGGGGTTATGGATTTTTTTCACTACTTGTATTATGGTCATTACAATAAGAATAGATACTCTTTTCGGTAAATTTCAGTCTATGAACAGAGTTGTTAGGCTAATCGAGTGTTGTCTCTGAACAGTGATAAGATCCAGTAAAGGAGACGACCTTTAAATTTGGCCTTGCTCTACATTTTATCGCAAATAAATACCTGACTCAGGCTGCTACTGATTTAAAGAAGTCGATATTGATAGTAATAGCAGCAATATAGCAAACTCATCTATTGCCGCATAAAGCTTAGCAAGACAAAGCTCTCGGCGTTGATCAATCCTTTAGGATTGCGTCACGAATTCTACTTCATTAAGCATCGCTAAAGGTGATTGAATTCATATCTAGTCTATTTAGTGAAGCGGTGGCTTTACAATGCATCAAGTTAGTGCTGCTCTTCTTCCAGTCAAGTGTGGTTGTGGTTCTAATTTGTTCTCACTGAACGGATTTGATAGCGGCTCGTGGTGGAAACAAAGACCACGTGTGTATTGCAGGGCACCTCTAACGACTGCGTAACTTGCGCCCCTACTATCGCGTAACCAACGATACTTCAGTGGATCTAAGCAAAACCACCAATATGAAGATCACAAAAAAGATGATAATGTTGTTCTTTTCCCAAAAGCAAACAGAAGCCATTGAAAAAGTATCGAGCGCGATAAGAATGAATGGGAATTTCAACGGTGTCTGAAAAGTCATTAGAGAGCAAGAAGGCGAATAAGAAATACAGGCATAACTAAATATGAATTCATAAGTCGTGGGAAAAATTTATGTGAATATCGCACAAAATTTTCACCTTTACTGGCCAGCCTGGAAGAGGCATGAGGAAAGAGGTCGCATAAGGATAATCCACCATAGCCATGTACTCAATCGCTTCCCTTCAAACGAATGACATTGTCTTCACCAATTTTCATAGAAAAGCGAGAAATAGAAATACCGGAAATAGCCGTTTAGGTTCCAACCACCGTCTGTGGAATTGATTTGCGACTTTGGATCTATACGGAACTGAGTGTTTAGAAAATTTTGTCCATCTTCTGGAAATACATGGGAGTTATCAAGCAAAGTTAAAAGAAAGATTCAGGATAGACCGGCTCTCCATCTCACCAGCAAGCCTTCAATTTACTTATTCTTCGTACAAAATTCTAACCGGCGTTATCGTTATTTTTATTAGCTGAAAATGCTATAATGCTTGGTTAGAAACCTCGACAGCCAAATTCACACATCGTGATAACCACAGCAGATCGTAACGGATTCCCACTAGATTTCTATTTCGCCGGTTGTGGATGATTTCCTATGGAGCCCTTTGATAGCTGGCCTGTACATTCACTTAGTCGCTGGATTTGAATAGGAAGGGTGTTCGTCGCCTTGCAAATGCTTCATTGTACGGTGCTGTCTGAGTTCGGCTCACCCTTAACCAGACTGCCGAGCAGAAGTGCCGAAAGCCGAAATGCTTCTTACTTTAAGTAGCTTCACTAGAACAATGCAACACTTGCTGCATCGTATTTCGAAATCCCAGATCACTCATGAGTTATATCGAGGTTCAGGACGGGATACAACTATAAAGAATATTTCTGGTGAACTTTTCTCTATCTTTCACTTCAACACGTCTTGTAGTAATCGTGTATTTGCATTTGTTATTCCTGACATATGGTCCATTGTATCATGAACTACTTGATACGACGCTCGCTTGCATGCCCTAAATTTATACCTCTTCTTAACCATCCCGCACGGAAACATTGCTTGGGCACCTGACCTAGCGCCCTTCGCTATTCGCTTTGTTGTAATCACGTCCCGTGGCAGTGCCATTTACCTTCTGATGAAATGTGAAGAACACCGTCGCCCTTCGTTTTCACGATAACAACTGTCATTAATAACAAAAAAAACATTAGCAAAGACTGCAATAACGACTATTTCGTTCATATTAGAGATGTGGAGCCTCGAGCACGCCTTAACAATGGAATGTCAATAAGAATTTTAGCAAGAATCATTTCTTATAATGGGAAACTAAGGGTGGTCTGCATTGCTCGTGCATAAGACATGCCACTCACCAATCAAGTAACTATCGAAGTATAGCATCAAGTAAGTAATTTGAACAAAACATAGGTAAAAAAGCTTCCACTAACTTGTGGATGACAAATTGACTATTGCATTCCAACTATTTTCAACGATAAATCGATTACAACCAGCTTCTAAGTACGTTGCAGTAGTGACGGCATCGAAAGCGCCTTGGTCCACTCCACCTCCCCGGAAATATATTAGTGGTGCGGAAGAGGCCCAAGCACTGTAAAACTGAAGGGTTTATTCTGTGGCAATGACAGATATTGTGAATGTCACATCCGTCCCTTACCCATTGACGAGATGTGGATATTTGATGCGAAGCCATGCCGACAGCATTCCACCGTACGAGCCTCCGAATGCGATCACTGGTGTGTCTTTAGGATACGAGTAATTCCAAGTATTGTTCTGAGTCTTAAAACAATTATTTACCATGTTTTGATCAAATTATAAAAATCTACTTGAATGTTGTATAAAGAAATTGTCTAAAGAACTCATGTGATATTTATCTAGTTGGCATTATGCTTCCTTTATAAGGGCTACAACTACATGGTGCCAATTAAGAAGCTAAGATATAACAGCTTTTGGATACTGGTACTGTAATTTCAGCATGTTTCTTTGACAACACTTTCTCAAGTTGTTCGACATTAATTGCAACTTTTTCGGCTCAAGGATTGAGAGACGACGGAGCTCCCTCGCTAAGAGGATCTCATGCGGTAATATTGCGGTATCGTGTTGCATAAAGCAAGGTATCAAGGAAATTGAATAAGAACTCAGCAATTCCCATTTCGCCTTTAGTTTCTCATTTATACGACCTGGTTCCACATATCCTGCAAATCCGTGCTCTTCTTCACCAAGTCTTCTCTGCTGCATCAATACTCAGCGAATGCCGTCGGACTTGCACGTGGGGTTCAGCTTACAGGGCATTCTTTTTTCATGAACGTCATTGGATTCTGGTCAAATTGATTCTTCCGAAAATCTTGAAATAGCTCGCTCTATTAAATGTTTTTAAGGTCTTCACCCAGAGACTATCGCATCAAATTGCTGGAAGCTTTCCCGGGCATCTATTGTATTAATTTATTCATCCTAGAGGGATACATGACTTAATTGGTTGTCTTCGTATTTTTGTTGAGCAAACGCGAGGTGTTACTATTCTTTGTTCACGATTGAGCTGACGTTTCGGCGGATTTCGCCTTCCTCAGAGCCGCTTTCTATGAGGTTTCCACTGAGTATGTCACGTAGAGACCAACCGCACAGAAATCACATGGAAGGATAATGTGACATTAATAAAGAATAAAGAATAATAACACCTCGCGTTTGCTCAACAAAAATACGAAGAAAATCACTTGATCAATGCCGAGGTTAATAGAAAGTCGGTCGTGGCAGTTAATTGGTTGTCGTTGAGATCAAACGAACACTGCGAAACATCCCTAACCACTTGCGCTTAGCATTAGTCCTAACAGATTTGTTATTCCTTAATCAAAACTCAAACCTTTATGATTTTTTGTGCTTCCTGATAATTTTTTTGTAAAGTGGAATTAAAGCTTTTCTTAGCACCTTCAACTCGTAGATTAGAGCTGCAAAGTCTGCAAGAGCCTGTTCGGACGTCAAAAATCCTAGGTTGTTGATGCTCTATAATGATAGCAAAGATTAGAGAAGAACCATAAAGCAGTGAAACAAAACGGAAGAGCAGAAAGAAAAAACTAAAGACGGTTGACCGAGAAGGACAAGTTTCCAAACGGCAGAGTGTCGCCGTAGAAACGGTGTTCGGCAAAAATAATGGCCGCGTGGAACATTGGCGCCAAATCCCACATCATTCCCTGAAAATTTTCGACAATTGACTTCGGTGAATTCTCGAACTCGAGAGAGTTCAAACATGGGAAACCCTCAGTGACAGTTAGGCTATGTTGAATTGACACAAGATCATATGTACTTTGTTTTCTAAGCAAAAAGCTAAAAAAAATGGCTACAAAAAATATCAACATTTTGTCGTCTTAAAAGTGACCATGTCCTGCTTAATTGAAGACACATGTTAAGGTGCTTCTTATGTTTCTGCAATGTTTCTTGGTACTTCTATACCTCAGAAAACCCTATAATACGAAAACAAAGTACAGAATAACTGACAGTAGCCTTGGCAAATCCCTCGATACCACCCTCATTTCCAGTGTAGAAGAAGATCGGTCCTCCTTGTTTGTAGAATGTGTTGTTCCATAGCCACCTGTGTAAGAAGAACGATCATATCGGTTTAGAAGAACTGCAGGATTTCATAAATCAGAGGCTATTCTCTGCACATGAACGGCAGTAAGAGGCAAAAATGTACTTTCTTTTCAAAAATTTATGACTTATGGGTCATTTTAAAAGGCAACGTAGATCAAGGGAAAGAAGTTTTATAACATTATAGTAGTCGATATGGGGAGCGCCCTCGTGTGGCTCTCTCTGTTCACTGTTTCGTAATGAACTCGTACATGCGGCAGAATCTGCCGTCGGTTTGTTCAAAATCTCGTTAGTTATTCTATCCTGTTCTATCCTGTTGAAACCACCCTTGTCAGATTACGGACGACACGAGTCGAAAAAATAAGCTCTGTGACTAATCTGCTAATGTTAATCTACCAGCATGTTTGCAAGTTCACCCATTTTCATATTTAGGGCTGAAAGGTTTAAAATACTCACTTCATTGGAAACGTTCTTGTGTCGGAGTAAGTGAAATGGTCTAACTTAACATTGAACCATTTGACGTCCCATGGATTGACACTGTTCACTTCCTTGTTCAGATTTACTATAGGATCAAGAAATTTCCTTGCTTGAACAATGGCCAGAAGTAAAACAGCAAAAACAAGGTGTCTCACCATTTCTATAATAAAAAACATTAAATTTTGCTCATTGAGAAACTCCTTTGCTAACAAAACAGCAATATTCCATTAGTGCTGCAAAACAATGTGCACCTTTCTATTAAAGTCGAAAACTTTGAAAAGTCAAAAAAACTAGTGGTCCCGACGAAAAGGAGAGTGCAGTGGTAAATGTTTTGGAATTTTTGCTATGTTACACACCTAATGTAAATGACTGGTACTCCGAGACACCACTGTGCTGAAAGCTTTGAAGGAGACAGAGCGGTAAAATGTTCTGGAACCTAGTACTAACACTAATACTTTTGAAGACGCCGCGCTACTGTTGAGCTAAGTACATCACTAAAGGTTTCGCTCATTTGATTATTTCCGCTGCCAGAACAGCATTTTGAACACATTACTGATTGCAGCTCGCATGGGTGTTGCGTAATTATTAAAACCATAAGCTTCGCAAGTAATGAAGGACATAACTTTGTTTAAGCGGTTTGAAAGACAAAAGGAAAAGACAAAGATGAAATCAAACTTATGCGGATACGGCGTTAGCATTTAATCTAATAGAAATGGGTTACTTCATGGTATGTTGTCTTCAGGATTTCTTGCATGGCAATGTGATGAACAAGTGAACTGGTGATTTTATGATGGCGTTGGATTGAGACTGTTTCATTAGTCAGAAGCGCTACTGATAAGAACGGTATTGACTCTTGCTGATAGCGAAAGGAAAAGGGTGTTACCAAAATCTATTGATATTCCTGCCATTGGTAATGCATATTGCAGCAAAAAAGTTGCTATAGCTCGTGTAGAAGTGTGGAGTAATTTAGCATAAGGACGAATTCTGTAGATCCAACAAAGATTCGACAAGGAATCGTGAACCATTCATAAAGTGATTTTTGATGGTTTTCAAACTCCATACATTCCCAGGCAAGCAGCAGTTAGATTTGATAATTCTTACGATATAATTCGGATTGGTATGCTTCTAAGGCAAGCACTGCAACAGGAATCTGGTCGCTAACAAGGCTGGAGTAGATTAGTCAATTTAAATGGTCAAATCAAATCGGTTCAAGTCATATATTGTTTAAAAGGACTGAAACAAAAAGCCCAGAACGTAGCTTTATGTATTCGCAGTGGTCCTACAATACCAAGCCGGTATCCTCACCTCATTGATCTTTACGCTCTCCATAATGCCGCCTGTCATAACAAATCCCAATTTTCTCTTGACTCCATGACATGCTCTAACTCAATGAAGGAGTCGTACCATTAGTATGCTGATTAGAGGACCGCGTTACAAATGTTGGCGCATTTTTTGTTTTATACCTATATGCTCATTTGTGTCCGTTTTCGCACTTCGGCTAATACCAGATCCTCTCGTACAATTCTCCTCCAACTGCGAAATTTCTTGGACACGTGAATAGCCTGCCTTCATTGACTGTGCAGGTCCCAGCATAGTTTCTGTTCGCCGGAGATTTTCTGGTTTAGCCATTGTGGTTTCCTGGAGTCTCGGGGTCAGACCAGCTGAAGCGTTCCTCAGGTCGTCACCAACCCAGGTAATCACTGCCCTTGTTAATCAGAGAGAGATTTGATGCCATGAGACTAGCTTGAGAATATGATGGTGATGATTCGTGGTATTCGTCTACTCTTATTTGGGCTTCCGGATGGAAAAGTAGGATTTCGAACTTCTTCTTTGCTTGCTAAAAGATGAACTCCCTGTATGTCGCAACTGGACACTCAGGAACACCTTCCAGCGACGATGAGGCGGTAAAAATTGGAAGGCTTCTGCTAGAACGCTATGAAAGAATGATCAGTACAACAAGTACACACCAGCATATAAATGTGATAAACTCTTCATCGGAAAACCGTGTAAAATTTGATAGCGCAGGTTTCAGTGCTAAAATAGGCGAAGTCATTAAGAAGAATGAGCGGTTCAAGAAATTCGCTGAAACATCCTGAAATAAGAATAGGAACCTTCCTTGTGGACTTCTTTTACAACAGATGAAAATCGGTCTAATCTTTACAAACCGAAAATAGTACCTAATTAGCAAATGTGCATTAAGCACCATCGTTTTGCAATCCTTATCGTTCTAAAAGGATACGCTTGCAAATGGTATAAACATAGCTACACTAGCGACCACCTTCATGTCTCACTCGTAACAGTACGGGTCAGAGGTATGAGAAATCGTCGAAAAGTCAGCCATCGACCAACGACAACGACAACTGTACCAACCTCGCACCGGCTCAACAAGATCAGTTCATAAGAACGTGTAAATAAATATATCAACTATTTATACCAAAGTTTACAGAAAATCGGTCTTTTGAATTGTTAAGAGATGCGCCAGCAAAACATTTAAGGCTTGATCACCTTCAGCTGTAATGAATCCCTAATTATATAAACTAGAATTGGTCTCCTAGAGAAACACATTGAAAGTGAGCAGAAATCCCGAGAAGAAATCGGAAGAATTATTACAGACTCAGCGAGTAGAGTTTTACAATCTCAGTCTCTGCAAATGATTTTCATTATCTTTTTCCATAACATTAATCTAATAACTATGCTGTTTCGAATGTTCTCGGTACCACAAAGAGCGCGTGTGGCGCAGTGGTCGGGGACGCCCCACAACACACACGTGCAATCGATCCCCGCGTCTATGGCCCACCAAGCCTTCCATTCCTTCATGGTCGACAAATTGGTACCAGACTTGTCTGGAAGGATAGCAGCACTGGCTCGGTACATCGGTAGGCCACCACCAGTCATTGTAAAGGCCAGATATGCATTTAATCACCTCTAAACGATGCTTAATGAAGTAAAATGCATGACGCAATCCTCAGGGATTGATTGATCAGCCCCGAAAACTTTATCCTTTTTTATCGTTACCACAAACTTTGTGCCGGACTTCATAACTGGGACAAACCATTGCGGATTCTTTTCTCTTAAGTATTGCATTTAACATTATCAAAAGCCGCACATCTCAAGTGTTCCACACTCAAAACAAAATCACTGCATTTCTTGAAGCCAACATGACGTCATATCTCTAGAGAGATAGTTTTTATTATGATATTATGTTTTTTTCGAGATCTCCTTCTACTACTTAGACGTTTAGACGACTAATCTTTACATGTAGTTCATAGACTAGGAGTTCATTCATTTGCTTCGTTGACGTGCAGCTGTGATTTATAAAGGTGAGCAGATTCGGGTGTAGATTCAGCTACAGCCTGAGGATCTCCATGTTTCTGTCCTCATTGATATATTAGATGTTGGTCGAACAGGAACCATGGAAATCCGTGAAACGTGAATGGGAAAGAAGTTTGTTAGCTTATGACTCGAATCTTCTCAGAACGACAGCTCTTCTTGCGATTGCGCGAAACTGCGCTTAGTCGACCAATTGCTGAATACAAAAGCTCTTCACGAAAAGCATTCTATTCAAGACAACAAAAACCTTAAAGTGAAACAAAGCCAGAGGAGAAAACGGGTTTTTGACAGCAACACTGCTGAACAGATCACCTTCAAAACTTAGATGTAGCCATAAAAGTCCGTCCACGTTCCCATCTGCTCTTAGATCGACTTTTTACGCTACGAAAAACATCATTGACGTCGAGTTTGCTATGAACGTTAGCCGTCTATCAGCACGAAATAGGAGTTAGTTTTGCGAAAATATTTTTCGTTTTCGTATAATGGACTTCACGAGAATTTACTTGGATAATTGGATGGCCCGATTGCTTCTGTTTTCCGGAGTTTTGCTGGTCTAGCCATTATGATTCTCTTGAACCACCAGGTCAGCCTGGCCAAAGTCTGTCCGAGGTCGTCATCACCACAGGCAGGTACAGCCATTGTGGATCAGAGGGAGATTTGTTACCATGCGACTATTTTCATACCAGGGCGCTGGTGGGCCCTAGTATTGGTTTACTTTTAGCAAGGCTTCGCGATGGAGGCACCGGCTTCCTTCTCAGCATGGGAAACTGCCAGGGTATGAATCCCCCGCTGTACACCGCAGCCCGTGACCCAAGCCCGTAGACAGCTTCGTTCCTCGCTTGGATAGCGCTACTTTAACTAACGGTCTACATTTTTGGGAAAAGCGCGAAGCAGAGACAGGTTTTCTACGTTTCGCAACTGTTTTCGCACCAGTCCCAAGAGGAACATTGTTGTTACTGCTTTTCCTTCCCCTCTATCAAGTTTTCTATCCCAAAAATTACCTCCCTAGAACTTACAATCTAAAATAAAGCCGAGAACTTCCCCAAGTGCAGAATAATAGAATGCTGACATTCGTTGAGACCCACTGGCCAGCAAATGTTTTTGGAGCCGTTTGTGGCAGAGGCAGCAGGGCGGCAGCGAGAGAGTGTGCGGCAGCGAAGTGTCTATACTGCGAGTGTGTATCGACTGCCACAAACAGGTCGTCGCATAGCGTCGACTCACACGGCAACGCTCGCATCCGTCGACTGATTATCGTAATGAAGCCGAAAACAGGACTCATGGGTTAGTTGTTTTTTTTCTAAGTCATTGAGAATCAGTCCTCTTTCTTAGGTGGACTTTACTTGGAGCGTGGCAGAAAGAAGTGACTAAGCAGTAAGGCGTTTCTCTCTAGCAATAAGCGAATATTGTGTTTGCTTTGTTGATCAATAAGGTAGAGTCTAGACACATGAATATGAAGAAGTTATAAGTGGACCACTTCTTTAATGGAAATTTCTATGAACCTGAACAGAGGCTACACGTGAATCGATGGCCGAATTCCATAGATCTATTGGTGAAATGTCTAGAGGATTGTACCTGTATAACCATTTTCTAGTTAGGATTGAAAGATTTGATAAATCGGAATCATATATTATGGCTTGGTGAACGTCAGTGTCAGTTTCCTATTCTTGAGCAGTTCTCGCTGTGGAACCAACTTTATGAGTCATTAAATCACTGTAGGGAAATTCTGGAACGACTTATCCGGTAAGGAGAAGAAGAAGAAGAAGAAGAAGAGGAAGGAGAAGAAGAGAGCGACAGAAATAATGTCCAAATCTGAGGAAACTGTAAGAAAATCTCAGAGAAGAAGATCGTGGTGGTAGGTAACGGAGCGGTGGTCGTAAGGGTTTAGACGAACGATACTCCGAATCGATGGGATTCAATTCAATAGGAGTAGCAACAGAGCAGTTGTACTTGTAGCTTTTATACTTGGCCTGTTATCGTGTGAGCTCTCTTTATTGATTCATCTGTGTGATTCACCTGGCTGATTCAATTTCATCCAATTGTTGTCATATCGATGACCTTTGTTGCTTCAGTCACGATACTACGCCCGTTTTTTTCTTCAAATTTTCACTGTGATCTATGGCTTAAGCGCTCAGCAATTTTATACTCATGCTTACCTTCTAACAGTATTACAGAGGACAAATCGTCCGGCATGAATCAATCCCTTGCCGATATGCATTCCACTTCTATCAAGCATTGTTAGAGATGATTGGATAATGTTTGACCTATAGAATGACTTAAGGAGCGCTACAGATATCTCAGATCACTGTTTTTGTCCTCTAAAAGACGAGCCTCTTGTCAATTTGTGGATCGTTAAGCGTCGTTAGAGATGATTTAATGTATATCTAACCTATAGAATGGTTTGTTTTTGTTCTGCAAAAGACATTAGTGTTTTATCAATTTGTAGCCCCTGAGGCGTTAGAGAAATTGGTTTTGCTGAGGGTGCAGCATGGGACTACGTGTAGATTGCAGGGAGCGCTAACCGCTGCGCTACAAGCGCCCGAACAGGGTTGTAATTTGTCTAGTTAATTAACTATGTATCTGTTGAATCGTATAAGACGGGTAGATTTTTTCCTGGCAAGAAAAGTAACTTTATCACATTGTAAAATATTATGATAGAACTTTGATATCAATACGGAAGTTTTGCTTACAAGAGCATTGAACGGTGGGGAAATATTTAGTATTGTTTCTTGTTTATGGGCTGACACCACGTACCTGCCTTAGAATAGTGCTAATGTCAGTATTGGATAGGTTGTTTTGACAGTGCGACCGAAGCACTGCTTCTACTTCAGAAATATTGCTAATTGAGATTTTTTTTGCGATGTCGTGAAACAGAAGTGTTAGGTTCTTCTCGGCTATCACCACGGATACTCACGAGCTTTCGCCATTTACAGTGGCGACATTGGTTTACAATTAGCTGAATTTCTAGAAAAGAAAATGCCACAGTTGAACCGATGTTCTGTGCATTGAGTTCCCTGTAATGGTTTACCGCTTACTCGTGAATTGGGTGGGTTCCTGGGTGTCGAACTGCGTTGATAAACACGTACGGCATCTTGCTGATAAGGCGGGTGAAGCCGGGAAGGAGTTCGGTATTTTCATCTGGAAGCAACTTCCATTACGACATTTTTTAGTGGGCTTCCTGTGGCCGGTTTCTTTGTAAACACAGTGGGAAAGGGCATCACACCAAAAGTTTGACACTGTCTGTGTCCTTCTAAGGGATCGTAGTCTATTGTTTCTCGTGATACTAATACGTGTTAATCCTAGTGCTGAACCTACTGAACACGTTGGCAAGTCGACTAAGAAGCCTCTATAAAGTAACATATGTCCACTACTGTTTATGGTCCTTAAGGTAGAAATTGCTTAACATTTACTTCCGTCCACTTGTAAGGTTTTCAAGAATGTCAGGCAGTAATAGAATATCGCCTGACCTATATGGTAACATCAGTGTGGAATATACCCATTTCCCAACGATATAAAAGGATCGTTCTTGACTGGTGAATCCCCATCATCTCCTCGTTCTTGTTTTTTGGCTACTCTTTTCCCGTTACGGTGTGGCCAAGGCAGTTACAGGTCAGCAGTAGGCACACAACCTTCACTTTCCTTAAATTCCCAACTTCGAAAATTGGACATCGCAATTCAGACACAGCACCGAGTGGTCATGAGTTAATGCATTATCTGATTATTTGATTCCACTGCTGAATCACGCAAAAATCTGGTACTTCGTTGACCACAAAACATAGCCAGTATTTCATACAGGATGTGGTATTTTTCGTCGCAATAAATGGAGCATTGTTCTTCTTTCTCGAGGACACTACTATTATCGTCTAATGAATTTGTCGAGAGAACTATTTACTTTCATAGTTCCCTAAAAGCGAAGACTTTTTTAAAAAAATAATGCTTCTACACTGCAGATCTGGTACCAAGTGAAGAGTGGGATGCACGGTCGAAAGTGACGCTGATCCATTGCTATCGTGATGAGCCACACCTCTGGAACGTGAACGTAGTGTTTCGTTCGGACGCTGAAAAACGACAGCATCTCAGTGAAGCATGGAATAGGATACAACAACGAATGAACACAATGGGATACACTTTTGAACGTGCGTTTAACAAACAATGTATTTTTTTTTGTACAAAATTTTGAAATACAGCAAGAAGACAATGGTCGCGATTTTGTGACTTTGGTCCATTCAATAAAGCGAAATCAGTAGACATAGAAGTGAGTGTTTTGTTATTCGAAAGCTAATCACCGACCAGGAGGCGGTGGTAGGAATTACATAATGTATGTGCATAAATAGAACCAGTGAACATACACTTAGATCGCGCTTCTTCGTCGCTTACACTATCGTTCAGTTTTCAACCTGTTAATTTTAAACGAAGCCAGAAGTATAAAGCTCTCCGCGTTGATCGATCAATCCCGGAGTGATGCACCATGCATTCGACGTCATTAAGTATTGTTGGAGGTGATTGAATGCATATCTGCCCTTTATAATGACTCGCGATGGCCTGCCGATATATCGAACCATTGCTGCTATCCTCCCAGACAAGTCTGGTGCCAATTCGACGAACCCGGAGGGATGGAAGGCTTGGTGGGCCATGGGCGCGGGATCAATTTCACGTCTGTGTGTCACAGTGGCGCCTCCAACCTCTACGCCACGAGCGCACTTCGTTAATTTTATTAGTAAAAGAATTCAGAAAGCGGTATGTTGGGGTTTAATCGAGCTTCCTCATAATAGCATACATGTCTGCTAGTTTGCCCTCGCTTCATAGCTGCAAAATGAAATAGGTGTATCCCACATAATGCCCTGTCCTTAAAAATTGTACTAGGCAGTAAATAAGAAGTTAGCAGTGTGATTCCGAATAGAGCCTCAGTTTAACTGGGTTCATTGCCGATTTAGGCTCCTCAGATCAATCCCCTTGACGGATGATTGCTGATGGCATTGGTAGATAGAAAACTAGCTGAGATACAGGCGAAATGAGCATCCGCGTTGTGTGGTGGTGAACGCGTAAGCCTTCGGAAAGGGTAATAGTGCGTTCGTGTTCCACCGTAGACACCTGCTGTCCAGAGTTTTCAAATATCTCAGCATGTGGTTGTATCACACATAATACTCTGCTGTTAGAAATTGTAATAGGCAGTAAATAAAAGTTAACATTGTGAAATAGGAATGTTTCCGGTGACAGGGGTTTCTGTATGTTGATCTGAAGAAGTGGCTGTGAATATGTGAATATCAGCTGTTATTCCTAGAGCTGATTGTGTGGAATACAGCTACACTGATTGACTCAACAGATTTTACCTAATGTAAACACAAAAGCGACTTCCTCGAAATATTCGGAAACGCACCTACTTTCTCGAAGCGGAGTGAAATTATCAACCATAAACCCTACTTGAAACAGTCTCTGTGTTCCCGTCTTAGTACTTAAGGCAGTGATTCGCCATAGCACTTTGTGTGCCAGTGTTTGTAGAGCGGAAAAATCACAACTGCCAGCACATCCGTCATATTCATGTTCATGTAGACATCTTAGTATCTCATCGTCAGCAACAATCTTTCGAGGTGGGATTCCGTAAAACGACAAGACTCGTCCTAAAAACCGCTCTTTTTTTGTTATTTATCACTCGTATGAAGTAGCTTTCCTCGGTCTACTCTCGTACATCCGGATAAGGAAAACCGTCAATTGAACACAAAAATCCCAGCAAAGCAAGAGCTCTCCGCGGTAAATGAAACAGTAGGAAAGAAGAGGCAAGATAAAGTGTTTCGACACCCCTCGAGTCACTTATGCTAACATAACTATGTTGACAGGACCTAGTGGTTTTTTATATTCCATCAGCGATGGTCATTTACCTTTTTTTAGTTCTGCTGTAGATGGTAGATTTGAATAAGACGGATATAGGTCATATTATTAGCACTGAGACAAATCGAACTAACCAATTTAACCATTCAAACTCTTACGGCGTTGTTTTTGATTAAGGAGTATTTCTGCACAAAAGACCGTAATTTTACTAAACCATTTTGTTCCTAATTTTCATGACCCGCCATCACATCTACTGTGCGAATCCCAGCACTTATTGCATTCGATTCGTTTTCCTATCATTCATCTCCCCTCCCCCCAATGAATGGTCTTCGAACCCTTCGCGTATTCGTCGTATTTTTGTTGAGCAAACGCGAGGTGTTATTATTCTTTGATCACGATTAAGCTGACGTTTCGGCGGATTTCGCCTTCCTCAGAGCCTGGAAAGGTCAAGTTGATAGCAATCCACTCGGCCAGACGCCTCCATAATCAAACAAAGAAACTCCAAACCAAGATTTCAATCACTTTGAACACAGCTTTGCACACTCACCGCTTTCTATGAGGTTTCCACTAAGTATGTCACATAGAGACCAACCGCACAGAAATCACATGGAAGCATAATGTGCCCCTCCCATCAGAATAGCAGTCTTATATACTGCCCTATATCACGCGTGATAATGAGGCATTCTTCCCTGTGGTTCATTTTTCGGATTTCTGGAATTAATCCAGAGTGCCTCGTGTAGAGGAAATCGTAGGCCTCTAAACGACAACTCTAGCGATAGAAGGGTCCCGTTTATCCTACCCTTCATCTCAAATGATGTAAGTACAGCTATAAAACGCTGCTTAAGAAGGGCGGGCTTAGAGAATTCGGTGAGTGTAGTTGAAATACCACCGAGTAATCTTAAGCGCCAGCTAGTTCGTAACCACCTATATGACCGTCTATGTGCAACTCAAAATTGCGTAATTTGCCCCAGTGGTAGAGACGGTGATTGCATGAGCACGGGTATAGTTTATCTGATCTCCTGTAAGATGTGCGGTGACGAATACATTGGCGAAACGGGTAGACCCCTCTGTGTCCGCATAAAAGAACACCTAGCCGGCAAAAATAGACCAAATACCCCGCTAGGCACGCATAGGACCCAGAAACATAACGGGGGCGACTTCGAAGTATGTGTCACGATCCTCGCAATTTGTATCAATTTTATTTTTGTCCAGAGCTTGAATAATAGGTTGATTTAGTGCAACAACTGAAGAAGAAAATGAAGCAACTACGTGATCAGTTCACTCGTGAAAATAAAATGTTCGAACATCACAGTTCCAAGTGGCAATTCTATGAAGAGATGAGGTTCTTGAATCAGGAAGCAGAATTGAGGTGTTTTTTCAAAATTTCGTACATTTCTTATACAGATCATCTAGGTGGAACTTATAAAAGTTTGACTCTAGTTAGATTATAATCCATACCTCTTTCGTCTGAGAAGAAGCTAATCCCGAGACCTATATTCTTTTAACCTGGGCATTGATCAATAATTCACTGTTTTCCTTGATGAGCAAACATGGGATTAGTATTACAGAATTTATTAGCACACAATAGCTGACGTTCATCTGAACGGTTTACCACCTCATCGTGGCTAGGAGGTATTCCTGGCTGTCGGGCTGCGTTGTACAGCGGAGGGATTCATCCTCCCAGCAGGGTCTCGCCAAACTAAGAAGGATTCTGGCGTTTCCATCGACCGGGATCCACCACCATCGTGGTATCAAACTGGTCGCATGGTGGCATATCTCCCTCTGATCCACAAGGGCGGCGACTGCCAGTGGTGGTGACGATCTGGAGCAGACTTCGCCTTGGCTTACCTCGGGATTCCAGGACCGAAAAATTGCAGATTACGCTGGGGTCCGCACAGCCAATGAGAACGGGCCATCCAAGCACCAAAGTATCCAGAAGCTGAGGTTACGGCGGTTTCGTCTTCTTCATACCCTGGAAAAGTCAAACTGACAAGGAATTTACTCAGCCAAACACTTTCGTAACCTCAGCGGATAAAACATAATACAGGGATGTTTATTCGCATAGTAAACAGCTTTTCTTGAACAGAAACCGTTTTGTTATTTATAAGTCTTCCAGTTATTTCGTGGAGATCAGCCGAACAGTCTTGCATGGGCGGGGAACATGCCTGACCTAGGTCAAAGAATCAGCCTGAGGATTGGTGCTAGGTCACGCGTAATCACAAGACACTCCGCTTAGCAGTTCATTTTTGGAGTCTTGGAATCTATCCAAGTGTCTTGTGATCACGACTGATCTAGTGCCATAACTCAGGCTAATTTTTTGAACTGAGCCAAGCACATTCATCGCCTCTGTAATACTCTGTGCGGCAAGTCTATACCAAATATACCAGAAGACTTACAAGGAACAAAACGATGAGTTACTTTCTATTTACTGTCCATTCTTTTTTTATGGTAGGGTCTAATGTGAAATATAACCACAATGATGCTGAGATATTTGCAAAGCACCGGACCGCAGATACCTACGGTGGGGAACGAACATGCTATCACCCTTTCTGGGCCTAACAAAGTTCACCACCACACCATGGGGGTCCTCGGTTTCGTCTTTTTTTCAGCTGTGTTTTATAGATGTTATTAGCAATCACCCGTCTACTACGGGTTTGAAATGATGAGTGTTTAAAAGCTGTTTATTATACGAACGGAAATTTATGTTTCATCTTTTGTCTACTGAGGTTATGAAAGTATTTGGCTGAGTAGATTCCATGCCAGTTTGATCTCTCTACGCTCTGAAGAAGGCGAAACGGTCGAAACTGAAGCTATTCCATATCAATAGATGCTGTAATAACAGCCTCGTGTTTACTCAGGAGGAAAAACAGTGGGAAGAAATTAAAAATCCACTATTTATGAATTATTGTCGGAATCGCTGCCATCGCTACTATAATTCATCAAAAATAAGAACATTACAGTTCTGGGTATCCTTTATCATTCGTGGATTCGGCGTTACAAAAACAAACCAGCAATGAGGAGCCGAAACACATTGCCATTTCTGAAGAATTCAAAAGAGAGGTCAGTTCTCGCTAGAAATTTCTTATTCTAGCATGAACTTAGAATCGTTATGCTTTCTTGTCCCCACTTTTTTCGTAATATTCAAGCAGGAAGGGAGGTTTTTTGAAGACGGGAACAACTTTTTTCGACGCTCCCATCCCGAACTCCAGTAGAGTAGATTTATGCCATAATAGAGCCAAGGTGAGCTAGGTTTGGTTACGTTCTGTGCAAAAACTAAAAGAGGACATGGCGAAAGCGTTACGCTTTTCATGTCCTTCTGGAAAGAAATCCATCGGTAACTGTGGTGCGCGATCAGTACGAATTTTGATATTCCTGATGCCTGCATCAGTCACTTAGCAGAAATACGGATGGTGAATGTCTTTAATTTCAATCAATCCGTATGTTTTGCAAAGAGAACTGTTTACTAGAACTTATGACGGTATTTTGGATGCTTTATTTGTCGTTATAATACTTGCAAGTTTTTGTTTGAGGCGAAAACTTTGCAATTATTGCTTTTATCGTTCTGCACTTTGGACTACTACACAGTTGAATTTGTAACATGACTTAGATTGGAAATGTTGTTTGAAGGATTTTTGAAGCGTATTGATGTTCGGGGATATATATGCGAACATTATTCAAATTGTTTAGAAAGATTGTGATTAAAAATCATTAAAGGATTGGCTGAGATTTGAGAGTAGTTTTAGCGAGAAGGAACATTTCAAAAGAAGTCATGCGTTCTGGGAGGTGACAACATTTCACCCGAATTTGAAGTCAAATCAGAAGTGCTAGATGAAGGTCTTATATCTCATTCCATGCAAGAGAAGTTAGGCGTAATGATTTCATCCAGTGGCATCATTCTGTCTGAAACCGTCATGGACGAACTTCTACGGCTGGTGAGTAACTTTTTATGACGATAATCAGTTTTTAGGGTAGTCTTGGTGTTTCGGTGCACAATACTCTAAGGAATTTCTTTTGATATGTGTTAATATGTCGTTTAGTATTCCTTGAAAAGTGTCATGAAAGGCATACCATAGTCTGGTGATAACATTCTACTACTATTCTTCATGGCAATCATAATCATAGCACGTGAGCCATCGGTAAGGGTAGTCACGACCTCGAAGCTGGACTGAGTTCTGGGTTTAGCTCATGTCTCAGCATCCTTGTAGTTGCAGTGCACATCGTACCTTGTTTTGAAAAAGCAGTAGACAGTAAATAAAAGGTAAGACATCGTAAGCATAGCTGTACATCAATTGTGTGACCTTTGCTTGGAATTGTTTCTAAACTAGTTTGGTTCCTCAAAATACCTTGTGTATATAACGGAATGCTAAGATGTACCTTGCGATGTGAAGAGTCGTTGCTTGGATTCCGCAACGTAGGGTAGACAAGCCCTCTATTCATGCAAAATGATCGAATTGGTATTAGCTTAGCTTAGCTCAGACCTAGCTAGAAGGATAAAAGGAGTAGCTAAATGCATCAGTAGGTCATCATAAATTATTGGATATGCCAAATATGAATTCGATCACCTCTAAGATGCTGCAGATGGTGTAGAATGCATGATGCAAACTCAACGGACTGATCAACGCCGGACACTTGTTTAGGTCGTTGTTTAAGTAAGTGTATGGAGCAGCAGGCAATAGATATGCAGCATGAAAAGGAGAAGTGCATTACTGGTAACGTGTGCTGTCGCGCTGATATACAAGGCGTCAGACGTCTTCACAATGAATAACAACATTACAGCCCTTTTCTGGAGATTAGATCATTTCCTCGTAGAAAAGGCCTTGAATGCTGTCCGTTCAATGCAAAATGATTGTTTTGAAACAGCACGTGGCTTTACTTGTAAGAGAATAAAAAACAATAGTTAAATATAAGAAGAGTAGTTTTTTTGTCATTTTTTTCTTTTTGGCTTACGGAGTTTATTTCTAGGGCCTTTCTCAGAAGGACATTATCCTGAACGATGACTGTGATGAAGAGACAAAGGACCAGGCGTGGAATTTAATTTATGAGTTCATGCTGGGAATCACCAGTGTGATACCTCCAGTCGATGAGCTAAAGGAAGTGTTTAGAAGGAAAGTGGTGCATATTAGCGATATTGTCACAAGACACACCAAGTGGGTTTTTCCCGACGTTTTGACAGTACTCTGAATCTTGAATATCTTGTACTATTTCTCCCGCAGTCTGTTTTACCTGTACTTCAAATTTAGGGCCGACGTTTTCTCTGTGCATGGCTTTGCTCGATATATTCAGAGCATTGTGAACAAATACTTACCGGAAGAGCGATTTTCTGCTAAGGAAAGAGAACTTGGAACATATATTTTGCGAAAATCATTTTCTCAATATGAGGTATGAAGGCCATCGAATATTTAAATAAGAGGCATTCAGAAGATAGAGTTTCATCAGAGAAAGTGCACGCCATGGGAAACAGTTTTTAGTAGTTCTGCTTTGATGTCACGATTTAGGTTTGTAAAATCACTAGAACTAACTGCTTCATCTCTCCTGGATCAAGCGTTATTTGTCTTAACCCACCCCAATTCCTCATTGTTTATGGAATTTAACGAGGAGAATATGATTTCCATACGTGTCTATTGTGCACTGGAACCGACCAAAGGAGTGAATTCGCTTGAGAGACCCGAAGAATGTCATATTTTTCGTATGAGGCATTTTATTTTTACCTCTTCTGGTCATATGTTACCCATTAGGTTCTTCTGTAGGGTTTGGACTTGATGTTTAACAGTTATCGGTCATAAGTTTGAAAAGTGCAAGACATGAATCATTAGAAAACACATCTCATGAATCACTCGGACTGGTACGCTATCAACACAAAATGTCAGTAAAAAGCAGTCTGGTAGCGAACGATGTGGATGAACAACGTAAATAAAACTTGGTAGTGAACGGGCCATCTTCAGGAAGAATTATGGAAGCTTCACTGTATTTTTCACCTAACTATTGTTCTGTTTTTTGGCATTTTTTTTGAAACTGCTCTAAACTCTAAGATTATCTAAGTTCTAAGAGGACTAAGAAGAAAGCTCTAAGATTTTTAAGTCAACAGGAGGTCATCGAGGGGAATTATATCAATGTGCGGTTAGGTTCCATTGATGATTACTGGCACAAGTTTTCTATTCAATGGCTTCTGGATGGACATATGAAACTCTTTTTTAGCTTCCATGTGCTTAACTTAGTAATATATCTTTGGATATCGTATTTTGACATCCACGAATAGTCGCAATGAGGTACTAAACAGTTTTTCTTAGCTCTGTACATGGCCCTATAACACAGTCAGTGAATTCCATTGCTTCCCTCATTCGATTTGGACTTTCGCATTCATCATCAAAAAATCGTTTCGGACTTGGTTATGGATCCCGTTGCTTGACGACTTTTGATATTCTTTGTGAATATCGTTGAATGCTTGTAGAGGAGATCCTACATGGACTCCTAGAATAGCCGTCCCGGGGCCTTCCCAGCTCATCCCTTTAAGCAGTCACTAACATGTATGAATCAGAAATGGCCTCGAGGGCAAGTATGCTATCAATTCTGGCGCTCGGAAGGGGTGGCTAGGTTATTTGAAGACAAGGTTGACGAGGGGTCTTGCGTGCATCGAACTACTCTACTCTACTATTGCGCTCCAGTAAGCAGCTAGGAGAAACAGCGCTATAAGAAATGAGTAGAATTGACATTGGTATAAGGGAAATTCCCGAACTTTATTAGACCTAACCTAAGCGAGTTTCTTTTCGGTTAGCTTCTATAAATTTCACATAGTGATAAGCCTGAAAATTTGAAAATTTTGCTTTCATGTGTTGATCTTCTATCTGAACATTTTCATCAACACTTGCTATAGTCCACACCACCGCTTGCGAAAAGATCGCGTATGGCTGATGGGTATACAGTGGAGTACTATGATGATAACTCACGACCTGAGACCTCCAATGGAAGCGGCGGGAAGGTAACTTTGATGTTTTGCCTAATATTTTTCTTACAAAAATGAAACTTCAGCTGAATTTGTCTAAAGAGTGCTTGCATATGCTCTGAATCTGTAGAATCTACTAAATTCGTCGTTTTTTCTTCTAATGTAAATCCACTGCCTTTATAAGTGAATGTGTTCTTCTTCAAATGCATCAAAAGTTATATAACTCTAACGAACACCTACGATTTCTTGAAAGCTACAAAAAGCCGTAAATGTTGCAGACTTCAACAAGAATCGATGTCAGTCAGCATGCATGTTGTCCCTGTCACATTGGAAATGACTGTCTTAAAAATTCGCTATTGGAGATGGTAAAAGTGAGGCTTACTGACTCGTTGGCAACTCTCTACACGAAACTAATCTGGGTTAAGCTGGCTAACTATGAGTTACAGTATCAGCGTCGCAATGAAATGAAGTGGGCTGACATGGACGAAAAATGCTCTGTTCGTGAATTAAATGAGCTTAACGTTCACCCGACTGACGAATTTACTGAGTTTATTGAGGGTTCATATTCAAATTTTCTGAACAGTTAAGTAGAACTCTTCGGCAACGAAGTGAGAAAGCTCAAAAAGTGGATCTTGTATCAGTGCGCTAATTCTATAGGCGAATTGAACTATTACTTTCCAGACCATCATGCCTGCTATCAAAACGTGTTAAAATTTACTTAGAGGAGACTTGATGATAGTAAAAGTAAATGAAAGTAAAAGTAGGTAAAAGCGAATGCATACTTATATGTGACCTGCAGTGCACAGATGATCTTTGTTTGATCCGGTGATTCGTGATAACCAACCTCCATATTGCTTCGAGCTCTATGAATTGGCAGCAGACATGTCTGGGACTATAAACACTGACTCTATCGGTAGGTGATAGATCATAAATGCATAGACCAAATAACTTCCAATCACCTCTATAATGCTACGAATGGAATCGAGTGCATGGCGTATCTTTCAGCGATTGGTCAGAAGCGAACGCTTTATGCTTTCTTCTTTATTGTAAAAGTAAAGTAATTGACTGCGATCTTTTGTAAGATCGATCATGATTCGTATAATTATGCATTTAGGCCCAAAACACTTATTTCACGGCGGCGGCCGAAGCACAAAGAGAGCAAGTTCGATTTTTCGCGGCTTTAGGAGATGTTTTAAATCGGGTTTCTGTCAATTTACAACCAATACTGCCTTTAAATAAATGATTTGCTTTGCTTCGAATCATTTTCTTTCCAAGTTTAGTGATTGTAAGCAGTTCTCAGCAGTTGATTTTTCTATGGTGTGAGTTAAAAGAAATCTCAAGAATTATCGCACATTTGGCTCCGGAGTAATTTCCAATAACGAAAGCAGACATACAGCAGACATACATTTCTATGCACTGCAAAACTACTAAAATCTTGGTAGCGGTTACGACAAGGTTGTCTCGTTTCAATGAATTTTGAGGAGGAATTGGAACGGTGAGAACTTTATCAGATGGAGGAATATAAAAGTATAAAATAGGGGCTTCAGTGAAAGAGATAGATCATCACTTATGTGAATATGACAAGTTTTCCGAAGACGAATCTTTCCATCGACTTTAGTGCAAGCAGTCCGCTCCACCTTCCATTAGGTGGTTCAGAAATAAATGAGCGTTTTGAAATAATTTTTTTTTAAATATGGGGCGGATAGTACAGTGGTAGTGATGTCCGCCAGCACGAACATGGTGCTAGTTCGATTTCCCTTAGGCCAACCAAGCCTCTCATCCATCCGGAGTCGGGAAATCGATACCGGACTTATCTGGGGAGGAACCACTCTCTACAATCCAATTGGAAACGCTCCGACCCGGTTATCTCAGGACTCCAGGGCAAATTGCTCGATCTGCACTCCACAACATTCAAGATGAAATGAGAATCCTCAAGCGGCAACCGGAGGCACACGTAAAAGTTGGATGATCTTTGTGGACAGTGGATACTATGAAACGAATCGACTACGCAATCGAATATGCTTACGCAAGCTGTTATGAGAAGTGCTGGGATCCGCACAGTAGACGTGATGACGGGTCAAATAAAATAAAACAAAATAAAATAGGAAATAAAAGTTGTTTAAATGTATTTTTCACCAGTAAAATATTCTTTGCACCTTGCAGCATTATATATCATTGGAAAGCTGATTTCATGCTCATTCCAGCAATGTTTTTTATTTTCCCGAAAGTTGGATTTTTTAAAATCAATTTTAAGCTTTGAAATTTCAGATCTCAGAATCGAATTTCCGTAAAATTTTCTTTTACGACTTCAAACTCGGTCGTTGTGCGGCAGAGACGCTCGAACAATTAATGAAGTTTTGGGTAAAGGCAGTATTGGTGAATCAACAGTGCGAACATGATACCTCGAAGATAAGGAAGGGTGCGGACGTCCCAGTGAACCTGACGACGAAAAACTGAAGGCGCTAATGGAAAGAAACACGCGAACAACTGTTCGAGAGCATTCAGAACAGCTTGCGTAAGCACAGGAACAACCACTCACTGACAAGTTAGTATGGCACGAATTAAACGATAGTGGAAAAAATCGGCGTTTTGAAGTGTCGTCTGCTCTTGTTCTGTGCAACAAAAACGACCCTTTTCTCGATCGAGTTGCGACATACGACGAGAATTGGGTTCTGTACGACAACCGGTGACGTTCAGCTCAGTGGTTGGATTGCGATCAGGCCACACAGCCCTTCCTAAGGCCGGAATTGCACCAAAAAAAGATTGCGACTGTTTGGTGGTCTGCAGCCGAGCCGATTCATTATAGCTTTCTGGTTCAGTGCGAAACGATTACGGCAGAGAAATATTGCCAACAAATCGACGAAGTGCACCGTTAACTCCAACAACAGCGACCGGCATTAGTCAACTGAAAAGCACCAATCCTTTTTCACAACATTGTCCGGACTCACGTTGCGGAACTAGCGCTGCAGAAGTTGAGCGAATTGGGATACGAATTTCCTCATCCACCATATTCGCCAGACGTCTCGCCTATCGATTATATCTTCTTCAAGCACCTTGACACCATCCTGTACGAGAAATGCTTCACCAGCCACGATGACGCAAAAATGCCTTCAACGAATTTATCTTCCAGAACTCCAGAAATTGCAACTGGAATAAGTAACCTTTTTCTCTTTTGGTGAGAATGTGTAGATTTAAATGGCTTTTATTTGATTAAAAAGTTTTGTTTGAAGGAAGTTATAACATTTTAAACAATGTAGTTGAAAACGCTCATTTGTTTCTGACCAACCTAGCACATATACATGATATCAATGCGCACAATTGCGTTTTCGTTCGGAGGAGCGTGCAACACTGCTGTAGTTGCTTGGCCGTTCTGCGTTCATGCAAAGCTGTGTCACAGTTTTCATTATCACGAGACCACGAGGATTTCGTTTTGCGGAAAGTTGGCATACTCATTGATTCGTTGGGTTCTTACTGAATAGAAGTGGGAGATATTTCTTTTGCAGATGAAGTCGTACCGCCTTCGTTTTCTTCCCATTTACTTTTTCGTTAGCACTTTTGCTGAGCAACGTACAAGGTACTACATACACCTACGCCTAGTCACTGGTTAGTTGTATATAAAAGGTGTAAAGCTGACCGCATTAGGTAACGGGGAAAAGTTTTCACCCTCTTAATGAACCAGTCCGTTTTATGATGAGCACATATTTCTTCTTGTCCAGCTAGTTACCCTCCATCTGCAGACTTCCCACGTATCCCCGCGACTGACGAACTTGAGATATCCCCGTAAGAAAGTCCCACGACTAGAGAGTGGATTCACAGAAAACGCATTTTGTTCCATTGAAAACGTGGTTTCTGTTGTGAGGTTGCTTTTTTTTTCCTAATGATCGTGTCAGTTTTGTATATTGCGAAATATAACCAATGATGCTGAGATCTTTGCAAAGCTCCGGACCGCAGGTGCCTGCAGTGGGGAACGAACGCGCTATTGTCCTTTCCGGTGAGTAACGTGTTCACCAACACACCATTATACATTTCATACATATACGTAATATACATACACGTTTTGCCTATATCTCATATCTAATATCTCAGCATCATTGAAGTTATATTTCGCAATATACCCTGCCATTAAAAAGAGTAGGCAGTAAATAATAAGTTAATATTGTGATTATAACTACAGCTTCAGCTCAACTGTGTTCGTTGCTGATTTGGGCTCCCGAGATCAATCTCGCCGATGGGTGTTTGCTGATGACAGAGACCGACAGAACTACCTGAGAGACAGGCAAAACGAAGGACCCGCATGCTGTGGTGGTGTTACTCCCCGGAAAGGACAATAGAGTGCTCGTCCCCCACCGCAGACTACTACGGTCCGAAGTTTTGCCAATATCTCAGCATCATTAAACGTGTTAAGATTATGATGTTGTTTTCGGCGTATTTTATTTCTCATAAGATATTTCTGGGCCCGTGTGGCGTAGTGGTTGGAGGCGCCACTGCGACACACACGTGGAATCGATCCCAGCGCCATGGTTCACCAAGCCTTTCACCCTCCGGGGTCGGCAAATTGGCACCAGACTTGTCTGGGAGGAGAGCAGCACTGGCTCGATACATCGGTAGGCCACCGCGAGTTATTGTGAAGGTCAGATATGCATGCAATGACCTCCAACGATACTTAATGAGGTCGAATGCATAGTGCATCCCTCAGGGCTTGATCAACGCTGATATCTTTATCTTTCATCCTTTATAAGTTATTTCTACGTGAAATTCTAGGCTTTTGAAATACATTCGACGTGCGTGTTCGTTTTTATCGTTACTCAAATCTCGTCGGCTCTACATAAGATTGTTCGGGATATGTACCCGCCTATCTTCGTCTTTCATCTGAATTTTGACCCGAGGATCAATCTCACACTCGTTCGTTTCATGTTTGAACACCACCCGTAGGTCATTGTCAGGATGTTTACTTTTCCCACTAGTGTATTTTACTTATTTTTCTTCTGATTAGAGCCAGTTTGGCTCAATTTCGTTGATGATTTGACTACATAACGCCTTTCACAATGATGTTGGTTGTTAGACCCACCTAACGAAATGCACATGTGTTTCATTACAAAGGGCGCGTGTGGCGCAGTTGTTGGAGGCGCCACCGCTACACACACGTGGAATCGATCCCCGCGCTCATGGTCCACCAAACCTTCCATCCCTCTAGAGTCGGCAAATTGGTACCATACTTGTCTGAGAGGATAGCAGCAATGGTTCGATATACCGGTAGGCCATCGTGAGTCATTGTAAAGAACAGATATGCATTCAATCACCTCCAACGATATTTAATGAAGTCGAATGCGTGGCGCATCCCTCAAGGACTGATCAACGCCGAGATCTTTATCCTTTCATCCTTCATTTCATTACAAATTTTTTTAATAGAACAAATTCTTTCGTTCACTAGTGTGATTAGAAGGAAATTCTTGCAGAGAAACCTCTGATTAGAGCATGTCCAAGTTCGTGAACTTCAGAGTACCGTAAGCCCGGAGCTCTTAAGCTTTCTCGATTGACTTTTTATCTCTTCCTGCTTTTTTCCTTCACTGAACTGCGAAGTTGTGGA